TAAAATTCAATTCGGCTATTAGAGTAAATTCTATTGTTACAGTGAGAACAAGACATTATTCAGTTTTGAGGAAATACATAAAAGCTTTGCCATACAGTTTGACATTGGCAATGAGATTTGGGCTCCAAGGAACGTATCCTCTCCAGTTGTATGACATGAAACAATTCACCCAACCAAGCTTTGAAACATGGAGAGTCTGAAGATTTCCAGCTTAAAAGTATTGCTATTTTTGCAAGTCATGCCCATCAGTAGAGGTCATTGAAGGGAATTTGGAAGAGTGTTTAATGTCTCAGAATATCCAAGAATTGCAAGACAGTGTGGCTTAACCTCCTTTTGAAAAACATTTGAAAAAAAAAAATCAAATATGGCAGTCCAAAAATTGAACAATTTAGGACAAAACCAAAACGTGTGACCAGTAACACTTGTTTATTTTGCATCTGTCGCTAACTGGGGAAATAGAATTGAATATTTTACTTAATTTAGTTTTGGAATAATACAATCTATGGATTAAACTGAATCAACCTGTGCCTCGCATTTATTGAGCAGTCTTGAATCATTTTATACTTTCATTCCAGGTTTCATTGGGCACTTCTTCATCAAAGTCCTTAGCAGGCTTCTTTTATAGTTTGTGCTCACAGGCAGTTGGAAAGCATTAACACAGCGTGAAATCAGGTGTCTAGAGCTTGGATTTACCAAAAAACATTGCTCAAATGTATTAGATTTTGGTTTGTCAGTAGAACATGGAATGACCGTTTGAACATAATGTCTCGCTTGCATGTACCGAAAACAATTGGAGCCTGGGAGATTAAATGCAGATTGCAACTGACTAAACGATGCAAATTTACCATCTATATAAAGATTCCCAATAGACCTCAGGCCTTTGTTTTTCCATACAATAAAACCTCGGTCTAACTGAGAGGGTTTAAACGTGATTGTTCGCTATGGGTGTGAGGACAGACACGTCAGGTGATTTAACATGTTTGCTTATTTGATTTAATATGTGTATTGAATTTTTAATTATTAAAGGTACAATATGTAAGTTTTCACTGCTAGAGGTGTTCAAAACAAACAATGAAACAAATGCGTAGTTTGATGACGCCGTGACTGAGTGTGGAATCATGGGAGTTGTCGTCTTCATCCCCACAGCCGATATCCCCACAGCCGATGCAATCCGACGGGACTCAGGCAGAAATCATGTTTATGGATAAGCTAATGTATTAAAGATTTATTAACATCGTAGTATGAAGCAGAGTGAGGCGGAAAGCCGCCGAAGCGAAACGAGGCCACTGAAGCAATTGCTAATGAGAGACAAGAGTGACACACGGCTCGAAAGCAGCGGAGATTTTATTATGCCACACTTTAGCGCTTTCGCTCCTTCCGGTCGTGCGTATGTGGGGTAAAGCAGCGCTGTTTATCATACTAGATACGTTTGAAAGTTCTGTTATAATGCTACTCTGTGCGGTCGTCACCTGTCTAATAAATCGCACAACATATTAAAGCATCTTTGGTGTTTCCATGAAACCGGAAATCAAGGGTGTATGACGTCATTGGCAGGCGGCACAATGACACTATGGACACGGTCCATGTCACTAGTTAAAATTGCTTATTTCTCTGGATTTAAACATTCTTCAAAACATTTGGGATAATGTAAGTACACAAGTCAGCAAAATATATAACACTGTTCTAGTGGTTTTTGGATATTTTAATAAAAATATCTTACATATTGTGCCTTTAAATTAGTCCCAATTAGTTTTGATGAGGGAGACACTTTAGAAAAAGTAAAACTGGGAGACAAGATGTAGTTAGAGACAGTGCCTCAATGCTAAGCCATAGGGGATCAGCCACAGAGAAAGTTTCACCGGGAATACCCCTCTGCCAGTAAAATAAACCCTAGCATTTGCTGCCCAATAATAAAGTTCAAACACCGGGAGCCCTAGGCCTCCCATCTGTGTGGGTTTCTGTACGTGCGTTTTTGCTATTCGGGGGGTCTTGTAAGCCCAAATAAATGGTATGATGATTGAATCTAAAAGCTTGAAAAAAGATACAGGTATATAGATAGGCAAGTTTTAAAAAAGGTATAGGAACTGTGGTAAAGTGACCCTTTTAATTGCATTAATTTTGCCAATCAGATAACGGAAGGATCCTCCACCGCTCTATATTTTCTTTTAATTTGTCAATCCTGGCTAAGAAGTTTAATTTAAATATTTGCTTAGGGTTTTTTGGAACCTCAATGCCAAGGTATGTAAAATGGTCTTCGACTATTTTAAAAAGCAAGGGACCAACCTGGCTGTGATTTGTGTGTCTAGCAAGTGACATAAACTCACTTTTGGACCAGTTAATAGTATACCCAGAGATTTTTCCAAAGGCATTGATATAATCAAGCAAATGGGGAACTGATTTGGCTGGATCAGAAAGATATATTAATAGATCATCAGCATATAGACTAACGAAAGCTTCATAATTTCCAATCTTTATTCCATGTATATGTGGGTGACTTCTAATCCCTATGGCTAGTGGTTCCAACGCAATATCAAAAAGGAGAGGGGAAAGAGGATCTCCTTGCCTAACTCCTCGACACAATTCAAATGGGTTAGATTTGTTAGAGTTTGTCAGAATGGATGAACGAGGACATAAATATAAGATTTTTACCCATTTGATGAAACGACTCCCAAACCCAAAGTGTTCAATTTAGCATGAATGGCCACTCTGTTTGATCAAACGCCTTTTGGGCATCTAGTGAGATGATTGCACCTGAGGCTTCGTTAATCCTTATATAGGATGTTAAGTAGAAGACGAACTTTGCAAAAGGAAAAGCGACCTGGTATAAACCCAGTTTGGTCTGGGTGTACTATTGTTGAGATACTGTATGTTGTCCAAGTCTGTTTGCCAATATTTTTGTTAACACCTTCTGATCAAAGTTGAGAAGCGATATAGGACTGTAATTGGCCAGGTCGTTGTCTTTTCCTTTCTTTAATAGAACACAAATATTGGCCTCATTATAATGAATTGGGGAGTCTACCATTTTTATATGAGTCATTAATCATTCTCAATAAAAGAAAATTCACATTCAAAGCCATCGGGGCCTGGTGCTTTGCCAGACGGAAAAGACTTGATGGCCTCTAGGATGTCTGCTTCGGAAATTGAGCCTTCTAGGTCCTCTTTTGCAATTTCATCTAATTGGGGAAGGTTGAGATTATCGAAGAAAGAATCATAATCGTCTTGACTAACTTTGCATTTTGAGGAATAAAGATCTGAATAAAAATCCCTAAAAGATTCATTAATTTCTTCTGGACTGGTTACAATCTAAGCTGTTTTTGATTTAATTTGGTGAATGGTTTGCTTTGCTTGTTCACCCCTTAATTGTCTTCTTGCAAATGAAGTTTCTGGCTTATCACCCAGTTCAAATTGTTTTTGTTTCAATTTAAGTAAGAGATTCTCGACTCTTTTGCCTAGAATCAAATTATATTCATATTTTAAATTCAGTATCTTATTATAATCTTGTTGCAACCCATATTTTTTGTATTCCCTTTCTAATGTTGTTAATACATTTTCGATTATTAAAAGCCTGCTATTACTATTTTTCTTATTAGCAGTTTCGTAAGAAATAATATGACCCCTTATGACTGCCTTAAGAGCATCCCTTAAAATGGAATCGGAGACTTGGCCATTGTCATTATTTCTAAAGAAATCATCCAATTTAGCATTAATGTATTTTTCAAAAGCTGGGTCTTTAAGTAGATAAGGATTGAATCTCCAATAATAGTTCTGTCGTGGCAGAACATGTTAAACTCAAGCGAAATGGGACTATGGTCTGATATCAACATGTTATGGTACTGTGTACCATATTCTGAAATAAAATTGCTGCGGTCAAAGAACAGATACGATTTATGCTTATATATGATGTTTATTATTATAATAGTAGTAGTAGTTCTTTCTCAGATTCCCTAATCATACATAATCATACTGTTAAGCAATGCTCTGTATTTGACTGTTAACTAAATACAATAAAGAAAAACATGACATATGCTTTTGTAGGTCCATTTTAAAGGGACAGTTCATTCAAAAATAAAAAAATAACACTAATGTTGTTTCAAGGTTGTATGACTCATTCTTCTGTAGAAGATACTTTGAAAAATGTATCTGTTTTTTGTTCATACTGATTTTAAACGGGTAAATGATGACAAGAGTTGTTATTTTTGGGTGGACTTATACTATATATTATAATCTATTAGTACTTGGAGATTCCCAAACAGGTGTATGTGGAAAAATGCTGATGTTTTAAAAAAAAAAAGTAAAATAAAATTATAGAAAATATGTGTCTGACTTTAATTATAATTCCACATGATATCCAGTATAATATATAAAAAAACAAAAAACAAACAGGAAAATGTGTAGTTTGGTGTTAATATAGTTACTGATGGGGCTGTGGAGGCTGGGAAATATTGGCTATTAAAAAAAAGATCATGAAAGAAAGAATGACACAGGATACTAACACCAGGCTATCTTATATACATGTTATTTGGCCACAGATACATTTGTAGAGGTTTGTTTCATGTAGGCTATACACACACCGCAGTAATGGTCTCCAATGACAACTATATCAAACTATTCAAACAAAAATTAAAGCCCCACAAATGAAATATAAAAAGCTAAACACATCAAAGAGTAAAAAACTATATTAGCCGAGCTTAGCATAGGTTATTCGCTTATTGTTTGCGACGTGTGCCTGTAATCAATCAGGCAAAACAGTTCATAGACGATTTATCATATTACACAAACTATGCATTGTTTTGACACTGTTGCAGTTAATGCTTTAATGCTTAAACATTGAAACTTCATTATGTTTTCGAATAAATCCATTAAACAAGAAGCTGTTTGAAAAGCGTGCACTAATATTTTCAGGTCCATTTGTTTGTGCGTTGTCTCAAGGACACGCCCACAATATGGAAACTAATGAATATTCACTCCTGCGCCACCCATTGGAACCAAATATTTCAGGAACCGAATATATTGTAACACCGGGACGTCTGCATTGGTGTTGTAGGAGAAATTAAATGTCTTGCGGCTAAGAAATGGTGAGTGGCGTATAGATTTTTCGTAAGAAATTTAAGCGGACATTCCGAGAAAACAACTCATGTTATGTTAAGATGGCCAGAAAACAAGAAAGACATTGTAACGCGTCGCCTCTTTCGGCTTCCGTCGTAAAGCGGTGTTGTTTCCTCAGTCATTTGTAGCGCATTTTTGGATGAGGACGCGGATTTTCGCTTGAGAAGATCGTCATGTGTACTTTTATTTTAAGTTCGCTGTTTGCAGGGAACCAGCGGACGATTGGAACAGACCCATATTGTACCTTGAACCCAAGGAAAGTGTAAAAGGCATGTTTTGGACTTTTAATAGCCCTACCCTTCGAAAAAGGTTGTCATCAGCAGAGGAGGGAGTAAATTAAAAATCCTGGTGAGGAATAACATTCAATAAATTATAGTGTATCTAGCTACAATATAAGTAACTACAATGTTTATTGTTTGGCTATTTCAATTTAAAAGAAAAAAAAACTGCTTGTTGGCTAGGTTCTCCCAGCCCGACTAGATGAATTTGGGCAAAACCCCATTAAGTCCAGCCATTAGACCTGTTTAATCAGACAGAGAGAGCAGTTGTGACCATACAAACCAGTTTAGGCTGATTTAATGTGTTTTTCAGCAGGGAAAAAAACTAGCTCGAAGCTAACATTGATGTGCAGTATGGCCTATAAGTGATAAACTAACGTTAGACGTTAAGTGTGACTTGACTGCATTTATGGTTAATTTAATTATGAGCATTATTACATTAATATAATTACAGTATTGTTTACATGAGCTCCAACAGTACTGCCTTGATTATATTATAGGGTTTATGTTAACGTAGTCGTTGATACTGTACTTTGCAGTATGTGCCTCTAGGGTGCAGCACAGTACAGTATGTGTGTTAGGCCATACTTTATTGTGCACTGTGCTAATTTGCAGGTGAGTAATGTTAAGGGATGGTTAACATTTTGGCAGGCATGATGTCATGATAATTTCATAAAAAGCACTTTCAAACAGTGAGTGTAAATATTATCAGTTGATCAGATGGTGTAGACATATGGGAGACTCATGAGGGAGTACACAGAATGTATACACTAAAAAATAATGTGTTGGCTTAATAATAATGTGACTGCATCACTCATTTTATACGACGGCGTTTTAGTGCCACGTAAATAAATAAAAAAAAAAATCTAAGATTACGAGATTAAAGTCATAATATTTTGAGAATAAAGTCGAAATTACGATAATAAAGTCGGAATACTACGAGAATAAAGTCGAAATGTTTCGACAATATATTCTCGAAACATTTCGACTTTATTCTCGAAACATTTTGACTTTATTCTAAACTCCCCCAAACTCATCCAAATACTGTTGGCAGAATAAATTAGAATTTTAACTCGCAACCATACATTTATTTAAGATGTGGTAACAGGTTCCCTGAATTGTGAGCACTTCACATATATTTTTTTGTGCTTAGTGTTTGATGCATTTTGTACATCAGTTGAACAACTTGTTTTAGTCTTTTATTACATTTTGAAATGCAGACATGGCAGCCCTAATTACTTCTGTTTGTTGTTGTTCAAGATTTTGTTTTAATTGACCTTTTATACCTTAAAATGAATTGAAATTAGGGAGAAATAGTTATGTATGTATGCATCATCTGAAAAGTATGTTTGTCTGATCCATTGTAGGGTGTCATGATCAAAACATTTCAAACAAAAACAGTTTGTTATTGGTTGGCACGCAAACAATTGAATGCAGCCGTTTCAACCGTATGAGCAGTATATACGTATTCAACTTTCTGACAGAATTTATCTAACAAAGTTATGGTAAACAACTTACCAAGACTAAAAGTATTTGGACTGTGTGTAGAGTAATAAAATAAATATTTTACCTGTGCACTACTTGTGTAGTCTGTTGGGTTGAACAATACCATTGTGGCATGACAGCTACATAGAAAGACATACTTTATCTCTAGTCATAAAACCAGTAAAAAAAAAAAACGAACTAAGAAACAAATATCATTAAGCCTACATCTGCAGTTAATGTTTCTTCCTCTTTTTGTAACCCTATATTTCTCTGTATGTGATCTCAGCTTGTTTATATGCATATGCAATAATAGACTTGAGTTGAGCATGTGTGTATGTATATGTATATATATATGTATATGTATATGTATATATATGTATATGTATATGTATATA